GCCTCACTTAAAAATGTGGCATACTCTTAAAAAACTACGATTAGTGGGAATGAGTCATACTTGCAGTTAGTACAGAAACAAGTTTCTTTAGTTACCCTAGTCGTTACGCCCCGTTACTCTCCCTGGTCATTGTAATTTAGAAAGAGTGCGATTAATGACCAGCACAATTAAGAAACATTAATTCATGTTATTTAGATTCATATGATAGTAGAGAATGTTGTAACTAGACATTTTGTTTCAATCAGAATTACTACGTCATACCGTTACCCTTAGTTAGAAATGGGCCTATTAACAAAATATCATTCATCCTCAACTCGATCTCATTTGATTTTTCCAGTAATGTAAGATGTAAGATAATTAAGATTGTAAGATAAGGAGATTATGGATCCAAAAGCCCCATCTATTACAGTGATTTTAGGTATTAGTCAACAAAGACCCAACTGCTCATGCTGAAGTGACCACGATTAGAAATGCATGCAAGAAGCTTGGTAAGCGTTTGTTTGCGACATGAATATGCTTTGATTGTCTAGAGAGTCCGCAATATTACCCCTTTATGACTAATACTTGATAAGTTCTCCTGCACAGTCGTAAAATTGTTTATTATTTTTCCCGACACAATCACTGGCTTTACAGGCACTTTCGATTTATCTGGCTGCACTATCTATACCTCGTGTTATCCATGCCCAATGTGTATGGGCGCATGTTTATGGGCCCGACTAGAAGCTATCTATTATGGGGCTTCTGCAGAACAGGTAATCGCTAGTTTGAAAAGAGATCAAAAAATATGGGGACCCAAAAGCAGAGTAGATAAAAGGTAAGAGGAGACAAAACCAAACATATAGCGGATTAGAGATGCTTATGTTAACAGTATACGTCGTTCTATCACAGTGTATCTGTTATCCCAAATGGCATTTTCAAAGGTTATACTGTCCGGGCAACAAGCAAAAACCTCTGAGATCAAATTTTCTACATACAAATTTGTACTATAATCTCTTTGGAATGCGGCCCTGCTCTGTAAAGGATGCACAAAATCATTAGAAATCATTTTCTGATTCTGATTACACACAAAAACCGAGATCTTCAATGTTTTGAAATCGACCTTTGGACGTTTGTTGAAGTGGAAAACATTTGAGCTTCACCGGGCAGCCGGCCAGTGAATGGTATATTGTTAGTTAGCCATAGGAAATTGTGAAGGTGTGAGTTAAAGCAAAATTATCTCAGACGGCTAATCAGCACAGTTTTGCGGGACAAACATCCCAGAAAAAGGATCAAAGCAAACAATGACTACTAGATTTTGGTGTTTTAGAAAGATTTTCAAACTTCTCTTCCAGCAATGATATTCTAACAATTAATGAAAAAAAGTTATTGATACTTCAAAAGATTAACATTTAGGAGATAAAAGCAAAGATTATGTAAGGGGAATCGCAATTTGGAAGCGAGTATAAACTATCTGTACGCGTGCAGAGATAGTGCCTACTTGCATTTTTTCATGCAATGCACTCTACAATATCTCGAACAAAAAATGCATTAGTCCCTTTTGGGAGGATATCACCTGAATCCAGAAAGACCGTGTCGCGTCGCAGTGGGAGTTTGTAATTCTTATGATTAAAACTGGTCTGGTATCTAAGCTTCCATAGTGACTGGATTGGAATCAGACACCAACACAGATCATGCATAAGCAGTGCAGCAGTTGACGCTTCGAACGCAGCATTTTGACCTTCCCTATGTTAACATTGATACTTCTCTTCTTAATCTTACTTCTTAATCCTCCAAAGTTTTAAAGTGAAAAAATTGTTTTGCTCTTGCAATCACATCCAGTGTAACTTAAAATTCTGTTGACTGAATATATTTTGTTTAAATTCAGTAGGCTCCATAAGTAGGAAATCATTGTCTATGATAGTATCCGCTGCATAAATGCAAAGTTTTGATAAACGCTACAAAAAAAACAGGTATAAGAATCAAAAGACAGAGCTAGAAGAAGGTGCAAAACAATTGTTGAATAGCAGATTTTCCCAACAACAATTCAATCTGAAAGTTTTCCGAATGTTTTTCTGATTTGAAACAGTTTCTAATTGCACTGGTAAAGCGGCAACTCTAATCAGAATGAAGAAATTTATGCAGGCAACGCCGCTATCATTTTACGACCACGCTAAACTTCTTTTTTGAGCTCTTTTCAAAAAGACAACCTCCGAAAGTTAGAATGACAAACAATAACGCGGAAAAATTCAGCATTGCGATGTCGTTTCCTCGATGCATGTAACAGGCAAATTCTGCTTGGAATGGGGCGATCCTTCTACAATGAAAGCCTCTTTATTTGTGTTTTACCCAGTTCTATTAAACCACAACTGAAGAAATAGAAAAAACGATTATGTTTATTAATAACAAAGAATTTAGCATTGGTTAATTTTGAAAATGCCCGTTAACGATCCTTCACATGTCGATTAACTTTTTTCAGAAGATTAGTCGAAATTGTGTATCTCTTAACTGTATTAGGACTGCTTTGCTTATTCAGACATGGAATCTTCGGTAATGTGATCCAGCGCTGTTTAGTAATATAAAAAAATCTCCCCTGCGCAAGTACCACTCATTTTCAAACAGAATTTC